AACAACCTTAAAAAAAAAAAAAAGAACTAGCATGTTCCTGTGGCACGAATAACATTCCTTACCATTTCTGCAATTCTCCTCATAGACTATGTTGCCATCGGCATCTTCCTTTTGGCATCTGGGAAATACCAAGTTCACCACAAATGATATAGTTGAGCCTACCAGTGCAGGTGAGTCGCTGGTCAGAGACGCCTGCACATGGCCTCCTAGGGCACAAAAGAGTGGAGCAGGTAATGAAGCATCCTCTTTCTCCTCTCACTGTTAAACAAGACAAAGTTAAACCTACTAATAAGGGCCTTGTGCCTTTTATGATACAATAATTTATATTCTGTCTTTTTAACTTTGAGTTCAACAATCTAAAAGATAAAAAAAGGGAAAAAAAGAACTCAAACCAGGTAAAGACTTCTCTCACCACTCAAAGAAATTTTACTTCAAATGAACAAGTCTGCTCCATTGCACTGAAGAGACACACATTAAAGAGTTGTGTTTTCTAGTCTCAAAACCATTACTGAAGGCCATATTCTTCCATGTGAATGGGAAGATAATCACTTACCAATAGACCACACTTTTGAGATGGCCACTAATTGTTCTGAAGATGATCATGCCCTTGTTAGTTAAATAGGTTTGAGGGTATAAACTTCCTGCTTTTCAAAATATTTCAAGAAGTAACCTGCATATTTCTAATGCAATTAAATATTGTTTGTAATTTGAAAGTGTTGATGTTAGGATAAAGGAATTCTGGCCAAAGCAAGATACCCTACTACATGGAAACAAAATACTGTCCCTCACAGAAGCTTTGTGAGCCGTGTGCTGTCAGAGTCCATTGGGAAGTACATTTGTTTGTGTTAAGTCTTTTGATTTACCTTTCCAGGAATATTTCCACCTTGAGTCTCCCCTCTTCCACACTGGATAGAGTTTTTCATTCCACTCATTTTCATCTGAGGACCAGCCATTTAACTGGCTGTGCTCCATCATGTAACTAGAAGGTCTTTCATTGCCCAGCACATCCTGGAAGCCTGTATCAGTATTTGAAGGGGGAAAAAAAAACAAATTATCTGGTCTCTTCCATTCTTCATTTCATACTTATTTTACTGCTTAAAGCAACTTTTTGTTTCATAAGGTTGGAAAATATAAGCTATTTCAAATCTGGCAAGCCAATGAATGATATTTAAAAAATGTCCACTGGATTTCTTGAATCTAAGCATTCAGAGCCTATCATTTTATGTATGTTAAATGAATCAAGGAAAGTATTTAAAATAGTTATTTTACTATTCCTTTGCCATTTTACTATTCATTTGGTTTTGCAATGCTTATTCTCTGATATTTGGATTTGATACAAAAATCATTAGGAAAACACTGATGCCAATATCTTCTGACCAGTTTTAGCATCTGTTCCCATTCTGAACTGTTTGTTCACTTGGCCAAAGAAATTCCAGGTTCAAAAATGCTTCCAAGTTTCCCGGAAATGCTTGCTTACATTTGTTTTATTTTTAGTAAACTTTGTTTTTTTGTTTTTTTTTTAATTTTTTTTTTTTTTTTTAACATCATTCTTCACTTTGTGTATTTTTTCATCTTGGCTGTAATCTTGGTGGACTTCCCACCACCAATTCACCCATGTACCATCACCTTAGTCCTGTGCACTTTCCCATCCCAGTTCTGATCCTATTCTCTTCTCCACCCCTGTAAAATGTCTCTGGTTTATATGAGTTTTTTATGACCCAGCATCTTGCCAGTCTTGGGACACAGTCCATCTGTACTTGCATAATCTACAATTATTGAGGAGTGTGGATTTTAAAATGTCTTTTATTTCCTGGTTTTATTTTTGAGACTTCTACGTCTCTCTGTTATTTCAACTGCCTGTGAATCTGCAATAACCTCAAAATGAATGTTAAATTTTAAAAAAATGAATAAAACAAACTCAGTAGTAAGCAGACTTTGAGGTTAAAAAAGAGGGCTTGTACCACTACTACCACCAAATAAATAAATAAAACCCCTAACTTCTTTTCCAGAAAAAAAAAATGTGCATGTGTGTGTGCGTGTGTGTGTGTGTATGTGGAGTGGCGAGGATGCGGTACAGCTCAGGAGAGTCACACCTAGCCCTGCAGAAGTTTTTCTTCTGTGCACCTTGCCTTGCCCACCAGCAAGGTGACTGGACTACTTGTTACCTACTTTGTCAACACCTTTTCTTTCCTCCTTTGTATCAGGGCTGTGATTGGCAAGAGGCAAGGAATCCCTGGTATCTGATACACCACCAAATCCTAGCCATCCTTATTTTTTTCTCTCCAGAATACTTAATGCCGGGCGAAGGGGAAGCCAGGACTGCTCAGATTTTATTACACGGTCACAAAGGTGTGGGCTCCTCACAAGCCAACAGCAAATTCAATCTCCAGCTAATCCGTTTTACTAAGAAAACAGGTGCTGCTGGAAAGAAGGTGATACTTAGGTGCACATGGAGGCCAGTCCCCATCTCCCACACTGCAGACTCTGACAGACACATTGAGGTAGGACAACTGTTACCATGTACCTCTCCCACCCCAAGCACCTCTCACTCTTCCTTGTCCTACTCCCCACAGTGGCAGCCACAGGAGACTTGGGGGTGGGGTGGGGGATGCTCTCTCTAGGGCAGAAGTTTGGGGGGCTGGTGAGGACTCAGCCATCAGAGCAGAACTGGCAGAGCCTCTAGTCCCTAGCCTCCCCTTCTCACCCTTCGCCTGCAGCCCTAGGGACTCAGGGCTTCCTGTTTCTTCTCACACCACTGCACTGCCTGGCTTTTTCCATGCTGGAAAACCCTCAAACACAGATGCTTGGGAGCTACTCACAGTAACTCCCCTCTTCCTTTCTCCACCCAGAGCAGCCAGCCAGGGAAGACTCTGCAAGCACAACTTAATTAAAGCACTTTATCACCCCAAGGGAGAGAAATGAAAGAGGGTGTCCCAGGCTGTTTTCAAAATCCTTCTCTCTTAAAACTGCACAGAGCAGGTGAAAAGCAAGATTTGGGCTCTTGGTTCCCTCAAATAAGAGGACCGCTTGCTCCACTGAGGTGGCTGTGGGGTTTACCTGAGTCCTGTCAGTGGACAGGGCAGCTAGCCCAAGGACTGCACAGCGTGGGCGGGGGAGGTAGTGCTGGTCCTTTCTGAGCTGGTCCTTCCCCAGCTGCTGCTTCCCTTGCTGGAGCTGTCTAGTGGAATCAACCCGCTGGGCTTCCCACACAGTGAATGTCACACCTGGCTTAAGAGGAGTGGACCTTCTGGGTGACATATCCCTTTACATTCTCCCTTCTACTATCAGGCAAGAAAGTAGGTGGTAATTGTGATAGAGGAAAAACTCCCTAAAGAGGGGTTCCCACGATCTCACTCTCCCTGTGCCTGAGGCAAAGAATGGAGCTGAAGATGTGCTGTGGTTTCAACATTCCCAACCAACAGTTTCCACAAGGAAAGAGTATGGCAGCTTCCCGAAGAGATTCTGGAAGCCCAACTTCTGATTCAGACAACGTTACTTCAGACAACCCATTATTTCAACCAGTAGCCAGAGAATGGGTTAAACACAGAAAACAGTGTGTCACTCACGTTTGGCGGCATCAAGGGGCCATCGTGCAGCCAGAAGCAGAAATCCCAGGAAACAGTAGAGACAGTCCATGCTGGATTCTCACAGACCAGGGTGTGGGTTTAACGTAACTCCTCTGGCTCCATTCACAAAGAACAACTGCTCTTCTGGCCTCTGCTGTGCCCTCTCCTCCTTTTAATTAAATGCAGGCCCTCGGGCAGATCATGTGATAGTATTAAGCAGCACTGCCTGATCTGGTCTCTTGAGTTCAACCTCTCACAACTCATGTGCTTCTGACTCACTCACCCTTAGCATCTACTTATTCATTTTCAGACACACACTATTTCAATGATGTGATTCTACATTAAAGGGGACTCCTTTTCTCTGGATAGTGTGTGTGGTGGAGGTAGTGCTGGTCCTTTCTGAGCTGGCCCCTCCCCAGCTTCTACCTCCCTTGCTGGAGTTGTCTAGTGCAATCAACCCGCTGGGCTTCCCACCCAGTGAATGTCACACCTGGATTAGGAGGAGTGGACCTTCTGGGTGACATATCCCTTCACATTCTCCCTTCTGGCAAAAAAAGTAGGTGGTAATTTCTTCCTTTTCTACTTTTATATCTTTCACCAAATAAAATTTCAATCTCCAACCTTATTGATTATCCACTTGCTGTGGTACACTGCTGAGGGGAGCAGTGGGTGGGTCAGGAGAGTTCTGCCACACCATGTGGATCTCTTCCAGGGCAGGCCGGGATTGAACTCATACGGAAGTGGCTTTAGCTTCTTTGTGCTGTGCTTTAGCCTGCTGCGCCACCAGGAAGGGCCATTCGTAGCTACTTTCAAAGCATTTATGCTTTGTCTCACTAAGGGCCAATTACATAAAGTACATGGCACATTTACTTCATGTTACAGAAAGCAGACATTTAGTATAAAGCATGCCTGCGAGATAAATTGCATACAGTTAAAACATTTCTGGTCACAGAATGGACAGAAAATGTGGCAATACATTGTGGTGCTTGTGACTTTGGTCTAAGACACATCCACATGACTATTGTCAGTTCTGGTTGTAAGTTCTTGTTGGTGGCAAAATTTGAAGAACTGACTTAGTTTCAGTTGTGCTAATGAGGAATACAAAAAAATAGTCTGCGAAACTGAAATTTATGGAGCAGGAATGGTCAACTCCCTAATCCAGGGCACACACAGCTCTTTTGAGTTCCTTTTGGCCTTTGAAGCAATTATGAAGGGAAAAGCAGCAAAGGGAACATTTTATTCACAGCTGAAACAAAACTATTATCAAATACAGATGAATACACAAATGGAAATGTTTATTACTTTTATGTAGTGTTAGCCTAATGTAAAAATATATAAATCTATATGGTTCTGCTCTTTACAATAAATACTTGTCACTTTCTTTTTCTTTCTTTCCAGATCAACACTTGCCACTTTTATAATTAAAAAAAGCTTTTCATATAGGGGAAACTTACCATCAGTATATTTTTGAAGTATTACTGTTTTTTGGCCAAATTAGCTACCTAAAGAAATTAGACGTTTCAAATCCTCCTGTAACAAAACCTTGCTTAATAGGGAGGCAGTGATCAAATCCTCTATTTATGACTTGGCTTCTTCCCTGCCCCACTGAGGGGAGCTGGTGAAATGAGGGTACCAGGTAGCTGGACGGCCAGTGACAGTGAGGAAGGAAGTACTTCTTAATTCCTAGTCACTACGGTTTGGACAATCTGCGCCTTGATAATCAACAGTTGACAAAATACAAATTAGCTTACGTCGTAGAAATCAGATATAAGGCAATTTTGGATAAGGAATATATTCAAGGTATTTTTTAAAAAATAAAATCATATTGCAAAATAAATTCGAAGTAGTTCATTGAAAGAAGGGAACCATCACAATTGCTTGGTGTTATTGACTAGATTCTTCTGTTCTAAAACGATGTTGAAAAATACAATAATCAAGGGCCCTCCCTGGTGGTGCAACTGGTTAAAGTGCAGCACTATGCAGCTATCCACAGCCTGCAGCACAAGTTTGATTCCAGGGGGCCAGAGAGGTGACCCATATGCACAGCAGACCTCTCCTGTCCCACCCACTGCTCCCCTCAGCAGTGTATTTCAGTCAATCCGCCTGTTCTGCTCCTCACTCTGTCTGGTGAATCCTCTCACTCCCTCTCCCCTCATCACCTCTGGCCTATACCCCAGTTATTATATGCGTAAATAAATAAAATCTTGCAAAGAAAAATGCAATAGGCCGCTTTTGGGAATGTCCAAACAAGCGTTTAAGTGTCTGGTTGACACCCTCCCACGGCCACACTCCCAACTTGAGGAGCAGCACCTGAGATGTTTTGACTACAGCAGCCCCCCAAGCAGGGCTGTGTGGCCTGGTAGGCTGAAGAGGGGGGTAGGCAGTTAACATCTTTGGTTTTAGGAACAGCTCAGTTCAAACTGGTGTTTTATAGCAAGATAATAAAAACCAAGTTCTTTTCCTCCCCATCTCTTGTCAATAGCTGCTGTGTTAGTGTCCTATTATCATTTGTACCAAATGTAGAAATTTGGAGCTTTAACACAACACAAGTCTCCTGTCTTACATGCTGGAAGTCAGAAATCAGTGAAGTCTCACTGAGCCAAAATCAAAATGTCAGCAGGGAGGCTCTAGTGAAGAACCTGTTTTCTTGCTTTTCCCAGTTTCTGGAGGCTCCCTCATTTCCTGGTTCCATCTTCAAAGCCTGGTTCATCAAATCTTCCTCACATGGACTCACTCCGCCCAGGTTCTTCTTCCTTCTGCTCTCTTATTAGGACCCTTGTGACTACCGTAGGCTCACCTGGATAATCCAGACTAATCTCCTTGTCTTCAAGTCAGTTGGTTAACAACCTTAATACCTCCTTACCAGGGAGCATCTTCCCAGGTTCCGGAGATTAAGCCGGGGCTGTGGAGGGAGGGGGCATTGTTCTGCCTACTGCAATTACACTGCAGGTGACTTAGCAAAATACTCTATTTATGAAGAAGAGGGTGGGATGAGAGCAGTGATGTGAAGTGCCTCCCAAAAGTTACAGACTTGTTGAAACATAGCCTTGGATATTTGGCAGAGTGTCAAGGCAAGAATAAACTAAAGATAAAGGAATCAGTTCAAAGAAAGAGAAAGCCCATGTGACTGCCCTGTCCTAATGTGGGCTTTTTAACAGTGCTATAATCGGAGTCACGGTTTTCAGATTTAAGTATTAACAAATGACTCAGAGCCTTCTGTTTTGTGTCTAGTTCTCTGCTCTCTCCTGTCTGGGCATTCTCCACGTGAATAGGTAATTAAACTCTCTTGTTTCCAGGCTGACTGAAGTTTTTTTTTTTTTTTTTTTTTCCTGATTGAAGTTTGAAATGACTCTTCCAACAAAGTATTTTCCGTAGTTTTTCAAGAAAGACAAGAAAATGAACCCCCATGGTCTGTGTGTCCTTTTCTGGTGTCTCTACAATCACAACATGGCAGCAGCTAGTGTATTTTTAACCTGACTTATAACTAAGGAATGGAGGATGCTGGATTCAGGCAAAGGAGATTTTTTTCTTCTTGGTATGGTGACCGCAAACATTTTTAAAAAAAGATCTACTTATTTATGCATACAGAACCGGGATACAGGTCAGAGGTGCAGGGGCTGTAAGAGGATTCACCAGAGACAGAGTGGGCAGTAGAAAAGGCAGATGGACAAAGTACAGTGCTAAGGGGATCAGCGGGCGAGACAGGAGAGGTCTGCTGTGCCATGTGGGTCACCTCCCTGTCTGGGATTGAACTCATGCCACAGTGGCTAGCTATAACTTGATAGCACTGACACTTTAATCCCTGCGCCACCAGGAGGCCCTGCCTTTCTTCTTTTCTCCCTCTGGTGCCCATAGAACAGGAGACAGAAAGAAGGAATGAATGGGCCCTGAAGAGGGAGGGGGACAAAACAGAAATCTGAATGAGAACATTCAGTTTAATGATTTCCAGTTTAATGATTGCAGGAATGATTATTAGCCAAAAATGCCTTCGATCCCTGGGCAAATAAATTGCCCTTGTGCATTGGAGATCAACTGTAGGCCCAAGCAAGAAGCTAGACCAGAAACCAAAGGGGAATTTGATTGTAAAAGCAAGCACAGGAAACTGCAGATAGAGTAACAATTTGGATTTTTATTCTCATACTTGAATTGTTCACTTTAAAATGGCTATGTGAGTTTCATCTTAAGTTTTGTTTTGTTTTTTTTGTTTTGTTTTTTTTTTTAATAAAGAAATGAACATTGGGGCCCTCCCTGGTGGCGCAGCGGGTTAAAGCACAGCACTAAGAAGCTAAAGCCACTTCTGAATAAGTTCGATTCCTGCCTGCCCAGGAGGTGACCACATGGCGTGGCAGACCTCTCCTGACCCGCCCACTGCTCCCCTCAGCAGTGTACTTCATTGATCTGCCTGTTCTGCTCCCCACTCTGTCTCTGGTGAAGCCTCTCACCGTCCCTGAGCCTCTGGCTTATACCCCAGTTCTGTGTGCACAAATAAATAAATCTTAAAAAAAAAAAAAGAAATGAACATTAATAATGAACTCCACAACACCCTTTGTCTGGGGTGCCAATATGATGCTAGAAACTGAGGAAAAAAGGGGAACTAAGCTTCCTGGCTCACAGTCCGGACAGAGGCAGCAGTCAGTGAAGAAGCTGTGTAGGTGCCGTGATAGAAATATGTTGGGGTGCACAGCAATGGCATGAAGGAGAAGTTTTTGTGGAACATCTCGGTAGCACAAATATATACAAATATAAGGTGAGCCACATATATAATTTCAAATATTCTGTTTGCCATATTAAAAGTGAAAAGAAACAGTTGGAATATTTCAGTATTATGCCTTATTTAACTATCGAAACCATTACATTTCAACATGTAATCAGTATATAAAATAATTAGCCAGCTTCTTTACAGACTTTCCTTCACACGCAGCCTTTGAAATCCAGTGTTTTGCACTGATAGCACATTTAGCTCAGCATAGTGGGTGCTCCCTGGACACGGTGACCTGGGCTGGGGACTGGACGCTGTCACTCTGCAGGGTGCATGAGGCTTTGTCAGGGGCTGGGTTCAGGCCTGGGCCTTGCACTGCTTTAGACAAACTCATGGGGGCCATGTTCTACA